GGACTCGATCCCGGGACTCCAGGATCATGACCTGAGCCGAAGGCAGACGCTTAACCGACTGAGCCACCCAGGCGCCCCTCTACAGCAGTTTTTAACGCCCAGCGTGGTTGCCCTCTGCTCGCAGTGCCACAGCCGGTGCTTTTCCTAGGGTGTGAAGGGACCCCGTTCACCAGAATCACCCGGGATACTTGCTAGAAGGCCAGCTTCCTGAACCACTCCATCAGAAATTCTGGGGGGAGACCCGGGGAATTTTAACTGGAGAGAAAAAAAAAAAAAAGTCCCAGACGCACTCTGTGGAGTACACTGAGGTTAGAGAGCCATTTTGCTGGAGTTTCCCATTGTTCGGGAAAATGTGTCCTACTACCAATGCCCAGGAACATATCCCATCCCCTTTCCACCATCCTGTGTCAGGCCTAGAGGGGCGGTCTTTCTACCACTGATCCTACACTCACCTCCAAAGGCTAGGCCCTCGGGGTTCCTAGAGTAACCCATTCCAACTCTTCACTGAGTGATTAAAGCGAAGTCACTCTCCATGCACAGGCCTCAGTTTCCCGTATATACAAAGGATGGGGTATGTGCTGTCTAGGGTCCCTTTCAACTCAAAAACAGGGTATATGATCTTTATGTTCTATCATGTGCGTTCCTCTGTATCAGAGATTCTAGTTCTAAAACTCTAAGAACTTGCATTTGAGGCGGGGGGTCGGGGGTGGGGGTATCCTTTCCTCACCTAAAGTGAAACAGGGTGCCTGGGTTAAGGCTCTGCCTTCCGCTGACGTCACGATGTCAAGTCCTGGGATTGGCCCCATATCCGGCTCCCTGCTCAGCGAGGAGTCTGCATCTCCCTCTGCCCGCCTCCCCCGTGTTCACTCTCTTTCTCTCAAATAAATAAATAAATAAATAAATAAATAAATAAATAAATAAAATCTAAAAAAATAAAAATAAAGTGAAACTTTCAAAAAGCATGTCTCATACCCCATACAACTTCCGATTTCCACAAAAAGAGATGTTTGGCCTTCCTGCCACAGCTTTTTTTTTTTTTAATTTGTTTTTAACATCCATTACTAGACATGCTTCCAAACCCTCTCTGTAGGCCAGAGAGGAGGTGTGAGAAGTGGGTACGATTACAACCTCCTAGCAACCCTTCAGTGGCCTGCCGCGTACTGAAACTTTGTAGACCGCTGGTCACATAATCCTCCCAACAAATGCTCCCATTTGAAAGACCAGAAGATCGATGCGCAGAGAGCCTGAGCCGCCCAAGGCTGCACAGCCAGCCTGCAAGACTCAGGCACGGCCCTTCTGAAGCTCTCCCTGCTTGCATGGCAGCGCAGTGAGTCAACGCGGAGTTCCAGAGCCGGTGAAAGCGACTGCGCCAATGGCACTATTCCAGGCCCACGGGCCGTGCCCTCCAAGGCCTGGCGGGAGCGCCACCCAGCCAGGCACACACACACGCCCTCCCAGCTTTCCGCATGAGCTGCTGGAAGACTGTGCACGCAGGGGAGGGGGAGACGGGGCTGAGCAACAGCCACACGAGCAAAAGCGATGCCAGGGATTTAGTCAACAGAGAGCTAATATGAGTCAACAGCGGGTGCCGCTGCCAAGCACACTAATGGGATCTTCAGCGGCATTAATAGAAGGAAAGTGTCTCGGGTCGGCCGAGCGAGTCCCGCCCCGCCCGGATCGGAGCGCACCTGAGGGCTGGGCAGGGCCAGGCTGCTCTCAGGAGAGCCAGGCAGCAGCTTCCAAAGCAAGGCCAGGTTTTCCGACGAGGAGTGGCTCCCCGTGCCTCTCCGGTCTGTAGGGTGAGCCAGGGATCCCCCTGGAAGCCGGGTTTGTACAGCAAGTCCACCGTAGGCTGCATGGTATAGAGGGATTTTTGAAAAGACCCTTTTGTTCCCTTTCTATCAAAGGTTGAGGAACCACGGCAAAGGTTACAGACAGGCAGGCATGCTAGGGGAGGCAGCCCGCCAGCAGACGAGGGGGCGCCAGGCCCTGTCAGAGGACTGCTGAAGACCATTACAGGTGCTTCTTCCTTTATTATGTATATAAAACCACGGGCCACGGCTTAACCCAGGAGTGGACTTGACACAGTAAGTATTCTAAAAATGCACAAGGAACATGGATTTGAGATCCTACCACCTCAAGTGTCAAAGTCTCCAGGAAGCGCCCAGAACCCGCCCATCCACCGGCACCCTGTCTGGGTGAGCCCCCCTCACATTGCTTAGAATAAAACGCCGTGTTTCTACCTGTGTTTCCCAGGAGCCTCAGGGCCACCTCTCGTTCACCTTTGCGTGCACAGCACGGTGCGTGGCACACACGAGAAGCCCAATAAATGCTGACCGCGGACAGAGGCGCCCCGGCATGGTCACACCGAAGGTGCTGCTGTGGCCTGGTCCCTTTCCGAACCTGTGATCTGAAACCAGAACCGGGCTAATCAAATGGCTTAGGGCAATGCATCACCACTGTGAGTATGCAGAGCAGAGGAATTCTTGAAGCTAACACCACCAGAGGGTTTTAATTACAAAGGAGCCATAGTTAGCCCGGCAAGTGCACGGGGTGCCCGTGGAAGTGACAGGGGACAGAAAATCCAGCTTAGGGGTATGGCAGCCAAAGGTAAATCCTACCTGTGTGACAGGCAGCAATGCAACACCAGAGCCCAGGAAGAGGTAAAAATCCAGGAAAGCAGAAGAGGGGAACCAAGACAAGTGGGGCTAACTGCCCAACAGGATAGCATAAAAAGTGAGCCAGGGGAAAGGCGCCTTAGGAAGGAGGGTGCATGCTACAAATTCACTGGGAGCTGGCTGCCTCGCGCTAACCTCGTACTCAGAGAATTAATTACAGGAACTAAAACTCTGATCTGGGAAGACTAGCAGAGGAGACTGTGTGATGCAGCTCTGATAGCTAATAAATCTTTAAATCGATGAGCCGTGCTCACTGGTGATTTTTCTTGATCATTCCTCCCTGAGGGCTCACATGACAAAAGCCTGCATTTTGTCTTTGGACAGGGTGGATATACATATGCGTGTGTCTGTATAAATAGAATTTGGGGTTCGCTCTATCACATCTTAAAGCATCAAGAAATCTGCCATCATTAAGAAAACGCAGCGGGGGAAAAACACCCAGGGAAATCTTTTGTCAAGCAACCTTTTGTATCGAGGAGAAACCTTTCCCAATGTAAAATATCCCCCTCCCCCACGCTCAGTGAGGGCTCCACCAGCCAGGAGAAGTCAGCATTCCGGGCCCCATCCCAACCCGTCCGTTGGTGTACCTGTCTGGGTTTATCACGCATGCACTTGACTCAGTTTGCATTTTTCATCTGAGAAACACCACTTAAGCCTGTCGCACAAACCTGACAGAAGCAACACATTTTATAAACGAATCATCCCTGGGGAACAGACAAAAAAATCCTCAAGGAGCACCATCAAAGTTCTCAGGGAGAGCATTCCTCTCCCTGATCCGAGATGCAAAATACGCCACATCCTCTCCACACACCAGCTGCCCACCTCTCCAATCCTCCTGGCTCTTGGGGCCTCCCCTCCCAGCTGAAGAGGAGCTGGAGAGCCTCAGTCGTGGGGAGGAGTAACATTTTAATGCTATTTTAAAGACAACAGCTCTAAGCACAGGAACGTTGGCTCCTTTTCCGTGAATAAAAAGGCCCCACAAGGGTATTATCATAACAAAATGATACTCTATGGAGAGCACTAGGAGGCACAAAAATAAAATTGCCATAAATTGAAACTGTCTCAAAATTAAACCTAAGGCAGCATTAAAGTCCAGGCCAAGCAGGCTCTGATTTTCCCATTTAAAAGCCTTACAGGTTCCTAGTTCCCTCGCCAAGTCTAAAGAATTTCCCCCACCCGGGAAGGCCTACATGTTTCCTTTGGAAGTCTGGCTATGTTCTTTTTTTTTTTTCGCGTGAAACCCTCGGAATGATCTGTGACATTCATCTAAAAGCTTGATCGGCGCTGTGTCCTCAGTCACACCCAAAGATTCCCAAAGGCACCGTCTGCCGCAGCGCCGGGTGCCCAGTAGGCGCCCATTAATGTGCGGATTTGATTTGATCACATCTGGCCCCTTCGGGCTAGAAAGCTGGACGCCCTGGCGGGGACAACAGCGCCAGTCTAGCTCACTGCTGGAGGGGGGCGGGGTGCAACCACCTGTGGGCGGGTGGCCCCGCAGCCGGCGCCGCCGCCCGGGGGTCCCTTGGCCGCCGCATGCACGTTGCCCCGGGTTGGGGGCGGGGAGGGGGGAGTCTGGCTCACTAGGCCCAGTGGGCGCCCCAGGGCCGACTCCCAGCGCCCCAGCAAAGGTCTCTCCCGGTGCAAAGTTGGCCAGGTCCAAGAGAGTCGATTCTAGAGTTAGCTCCCAAGTCACCCAAACCCTTGGGAGGCTGAGGGCTGTAGGGGCTCTTTGGGATGAGAATGGGGCGGGGGCGGGGGCGGGCATCGAGGAGGTCGGGAGAGAAATGGTCCCCAGATTTCCTCCCAAACTTGGGGCACCTGCTGGGCAGCAGGCGAGGGGGCTTCTCCTCCCCGCCATCTCGACAAGGCCTGGTGGCGACTTTGTGGGGGCAAGTAAGCCACCCTGGGGGCAGCCCCGCATTGCTTTGAGATTTTCTAACCAATATCCCAGCACCAAGAAGGCCCCCGCTGGAACCTGGGGGGCGGAAGGGGAACACCGGTCACTCGCGCCAGGGGCGGGGACTCGGGAAGAGGGGACTGGGTGAGCGGGGGAGGGAGTAAGGCCCGAAGGACGAGGTGGCAGCCGGAGAAGGCGCGACCCAGCAGCGCAATGTCCCAAGAAGGGGGGCACGGGGCCACAGAAGGGGTTCCAGAAGAGACTGGGACGGAGTGGCCCGAGAGGGAACCAGGGATAGGGAGTGCTCGCAGGAGAAGGAAGAAGGGATCCCCGGAGAGGTACAAGAGGGGCGCCCAGAGAGGAACACTGGGGGAGGGGAGCTGTCCCAAGGGGTGCCAGTGCCACGGACCGGCCCCGTCACTCACCGGCAGGTCCACGCTCACTTCGGTCCCGTCGAGCAGGAAGACGCGGCAGGACAGGGTGGCCTTGGCAGCGCCGGCGGCGGAGATGTGCACGGCCGCGCCGCCCGTGAGCAGGGGCCCGCCGCCGGCCGG